ATACATATCAAACGATCCATAGAGCGACTGCAAAACCGCAGGTCATCTCAGGGGGAGGGGGTGGGTGCGCACCCCTGCACCCTAGAATTGAGTTCACGAAAACGCGAATACAAGGGACTGGAGTTGTAAACAATCTATCGAGCGCAAAACTCAGCTACAGTAAATTGAAAAACGCCGTATTTCCTTCCAAGTCTTTTTCTTGCCTTAAAAAAAAAGTCAGCCCTAGGATTTTGTCGAATTTTAAAAGATCGTTCTCTAAAAAATGGGAAAAACACCGAGCTCACACATTATCCACTCGCTAGGAGGTGAATGTCGTTGAATATTCCGAGATAGCGAACCAATCAGATTGCTTAAATCACCAAGACCACTGAGTGTGTATATACTAATGCCTCATACACCACGATGACTAAGCCAATCAGAGCTCTAGAATTGTATTATCCAATGATTCAGTTTGTAATAATTTCACATAGACCATAACGCACCTTGTTTACTCCACAAAATTTTACATGTCTATTGTTTCCAGTTTCTCCTGGGTATTACAGTCGTCCCAAGCGAAATCGGAGACAACGGTTATGCAGAATTTTTGGGGGTAAACAAGGTGGATTATGGTCGATGTGAAAATGGTGAATACCCTATTTCCCCATTAATGCCTTAGTTAGCATTCACGTAACAACATTTCAAGTAGTATAATTATTTTCTGTACTGTGCGGAGGGGCATGCTCATTGCTGTGAAACTTACCCATTGGGCCCAAGAACACTCGATGCGGCAGGGGTAATTGCAGAACGCCAAATGCCGAATGCAGAACGCCGAATGGCTCTGACGTTTGGTGATTAGGGTTAGGAAAGCTGAGTAAATCAAATTTCAGGTCAGTTTTGCCAGTATAATAACCTTGAATAAAACCTGATTCACTCAGCCTCGTTCACGGCCGTCCTCGGCTATTTCGGATGTGACCTGTCAAGCTTGTCGGAAAAATTCACCGAGGACGCCTTCGCGCTATCGTATTCGGTTCCAAGTCTCCTCTGGTAACTGGGATAGCGCGAACTGGTCTGGGTACGAGGCTGTGACTCACTCAGTTTCCTAACCCTCATCACTAAACTTCAGAGTCATTGGGCGTTTAGCTTTCTGCAAAATACCTCTTCCGCACTGGATGTCTTCCCCAGAGCCGGATATACATGGTGCTGTGTGCAGGAATCAAACTCCTGGAATGAGATTAAAGCCCATCAGACATTGTGGGACTGTTTTGGGGACGCATTTTCAACATGGCGGAAAATTTGTCCCCCCCCAAAATTCCCACAATGCACTTTGACAACCATCTCGACCCGGTCTCCTGCGCAACCTCAAAGTGGCGAATCGGAGTGTCGACTTTACTTTCACGTTGCGGCAAGGTGAAGATCTATCATGTTAAATAATGTTCCAAAAAAAAAACCTTTTCAGTAATTCATTATGAAGAAAATGCAAAGAAAACTAAAATTGATTGAGTATTTTCAAATTTGATTAAATGTGACTTAGTTTTTGTAGCTCCATTTTTCTGGGAAAAATCATCAAAACACTAATAATTAAAATTGAATCAATGTGTTCACGTTTGAGACTTCCTATATCGTGCCATATTGATAATAAAAGTTAAAAAAGCCTCATACTCTTTGTAAAAACCTGTGAACCTCACGAGTGACGTGACGTGTTGGTTCTCTCCTTTGCTCCGAGAGGTTTTTCTCCGGGTACTCCGGTTTTCCCCTCTCCTCAAAAACCAACATTTCCAAATTCCAGTTCGAAAAGGAATCAGGTAGACGGAGGACCACTAAGTGGATGTGCTACCTCTACATCGTTTAATATCGTCATTATCGAGTGACGTAAAACGATTTAAATACAATGAAGCCAGTAAGAAGTCGACACAATAGCTAGAAAACAAACAAAAACTTCACAGGTTTTTACACCGAGGAAAACCCTTTAAAAACCCTTTGTAAAGTTTTATCGCTGAGTTTTTTTAATAACGGTTACTCCTATAAGAGAGAAATTAGGCTTCACAATTTTTTTTTCTAAAACAAGCGCTTGTCAGATATCATTTACAGGAGCAAGATTTCCCTACGTTGCCAATTTTTCCTAATTACTTTTTCCTTTCCCATCGAAAGCGGTTTTTCCGCCGCACAAATGGTTCTTTCGCTCAAGACCTTTTCAAATAGTTTGTTTGAAATGTCAATTAACTGTTCGAGTCCCAAATGCCCTGACGTGTAAAAATTGTGGTAAACAACCCTTGTTCTTGCTACATGGTCACGTGCAGGAAGAAAATCCAATCAAAAATTGTTATTCAAATCAAAACGGTGCTCAGCGCCACATTCAAAAATTGATATCTTCGGATGCGAACATGCTGGCGAAGGTCCCTCATGAAAGAGAAATAAGACACTCTCACATAAACTGGCCATGCATCCGTCTTTCTCAGCTTTGCTAATAGAAAGCTAGCTATAAAAGGAGTCAGGGATTTTAAAACCAGTGCAAGAGGTAAATAATTACTAAATACTTGATAAAGTTGTCGTCAATTCGGTTGAAATTTGTATAAATTCTGCCAGTCCAACTTAAAATTATAAGTTATTTCGTAGTCGAATGTTCTTGTTTTGAACTTAACTTATTTGTTCTCTGCGGAGAAATAGTGGGTTGAAATGTAAGCAAATGCTCAAGCAAAATTAGTGGGTGATTTTTCGTAGCTCGCACAAAAAGGTCGTACACGTGGCTGTTCCTAAATTACAAGCGAAGCTCAGTGGAGATATTAACTGTTAAGATAAAGTATTAATTAAACCCAGCAATTCATGTCTTGGTGTTCTTCCAAATTCAATGTAATGGTGACCAAGAAAGGAATTCACAAAAAGGACAGATTTGATTCATGTTTCCAACGATGTACAACAGCGATATTTTAGTGGAGTTAACATCACCAAATGAGGACACCGGACCTTTAAATAAAGACCGACTTAAGCTACAGCGGAAAGCCTTGAAGTTTGCAAGAAGATACTTTCGTGATTTTCTCATCTATTTAAACAACTGTTTATATTTAACAGAATAACAAAAAAGTATCATATACTTTAAAAACTGAACTGTTTAAGAAGGGAAAGTTGTAGGACCGTGGTTGTAAAAGTTTTAATAGGGCAATTTCGAATAACTTTTTTGTAAACTGCTACTCGTTTACGCTTCCTCCAAACAGGTTGGAATATCCGAGATTTATTGAGGTCATTAATTACGTTGGCCGATGAAATTGCTATTGCATTCGAACGGGGTCGTGTAAAAACGACCCTTAATGAATGAAATTATAATGAATGTACGGAATAAGAAATAAATATCACAGGCAACCCAGGCTCTGTGATAGTACCACAGTACGGTTCCAGTAAAGTTACAGTGTTTGTACGGGGTAAAAATATCATCCTAAAATTTCTAGGAAATACTAAATAAAGATCGATAAAACTTACGCTGCAACGAAGTTTCGTGATAATTTGCAGTAATTTGTTTAAATTCACTCTATCTACAATAATAATATACAAGGTAGGAAACACGAGGGGCCATTTTCGCCGACATGCTCTCATTGAACACAACTTTTTCCACGAAATTCGAACTCCAACGGAAAATAAACATGCCAGGATCGCAGAAATAGTATAGCAGCAGATATAGAAACCAATGAAGCTTTCCCAGATAAAGAAACGAATCCCACAGACTTTGACAAGCTCGAAGAATATAATCCAAACAGACCGAGAATATGCTCGCCGAAGCAGCCGGGCCAGATCAACACGCGGCCACGAAAATGGGGCCTGGGCACTGTACAAGGACACGATAAAGGAGAATATGTAGTGTGGAATGACGTTTGCATGGCAGACATTCGCCTCGCTTCGCTTGTTTACTTGCTTGTTTACGTTAGCACGTATTGCGTGCCTATTGCACTTTTGTGTCAACACAAGCCGTTTCCATTACTCTATTTGGGCTTGCCTAGTCCCTGTACGGCGTCTCTCCAGGCCCTCTCGGTCAATGCAATTTCGGTGACGTATCCCAGACGAAAGGCCGGGAGACGCCTAGACAATCTCGGAGTGCGCATGCATGGGCATTTTTGAAAAGTTCACACGGTCAACTGAAATAATCTATAAATAACTTTGCGCGTGAAAATCCTTCCCTTCGAGATCGGCACTCTATTGCAAAAATAACTAACCTGGTTTCTGTTATTAAAGAACAAAAATATTAATTTGAATCGGAAAGAATACTACCTTAACGTGCAAGTAATTTCTCTTTTAGTTCATTTTCAAATGAACCATTAAAATGATATTTCTTTATTGAAAAAAGACTTGTACAGTAGTTTGTTGACATTCTACCAAATTTAGAGACCAAATTCAACAGTCTGTCAGATTAGTTTGATACTGCTTCCAAATCCGAAAATTAAATTACATAAAATATTTCGAAGTGAAATGATGACGAGAAATTTATAGGAGCAAGCGAAAATAGAGGAACGAAAGATAGCTTTTCATATCCAAGAATAAATATAAACTTATTTCTTTAGCTTACCTTCCGATTCTTGATCAAATAATTTTTTGCGACGCTGTTTTGCGTAGCCTACAAATAGTTTTTGAGATGAAATAAAGTTCAATGAGATAAATGAAAAAGAAAGGCCGAAGGACTTTCAACAATGAAAACGTGCATAGAATAAAAATGCTCGGTTTATCCTCTGTACTCTCCATAACTGCTGGACATCTTTCATCATCACGGAAAAGTTATTGACAGCTCGCCCGCTTCCAAAAGCTCCGCCCTAAGTGAGACAAAATGTCTCACTTCTCCGAGTTTGTCTAGGCCTCAAAAACTTTCTCGGACCACGTGACCCGAAACGCATCGGCCTCGCATAATAATGAGGCCTAGGGATTAGGCAATATTTGGGCCACGCCCAAATAATAACAGGCATAGTAGAGCGTGGTGAACCTGTGCTCTACCCCAGACCCCAGGCCACCCACCTTTCAATGTTTGTGTGAGCCGTGGGTAATGACTCATGCAGGAGAGTGACGGTGCACGTTGGGAGCGGACTTTGCTTAGATGCGTACGGTCTGCTTAAGCGTATACGATTATATTTTGTTTGCTCATCTTCATCGTAAAAAGACGTGAATTTCGAAGAGAGTTGAGGTAGGTGTTTCCTCTCTTCTTTACTTGGTACAATTTTACGTTTTTAAAATAGAATAGCGTGTAAAACAATTAGAAACGTTCACCATTGATTGTTTTATGCTTGCAAGCAGTTGAGCTACACATACCATAAATAGCTATTAACTTCATTCTCAGCGACCGATTTTCATTTACAAAAAGGTCATGTCGTTTTCAGGGATAACCGAACTTGACCGATCACAGTCGAACACAGTCAACTGTTCTACATGAAAGCTGAGATTGTAGGAGATAATACATTTTCAATGCATGCAGGACTTTACTGCTCATCGTGCTTTGTGAGGAATATTTTTGTTAATTCTCTTGAGAGACCAAAAATGAACCATGGATTTCTTCCTTTAAAACCGTCATGATAAACGTTTGGAGTTGGAATGAGCTGATCCTTGCGAGTTTAGAACCAAAATACAAAGGTGAAATAAATATGGCAACGATCACGCGAAAGGTCAACACTGGCCATTTCATTGGAATCATTCATCAGCAGGACCTTAGCCTGCTTAGCATCTCCACTTAAACTAGCCTGTGCTTGCCCGTTAAGGCTACACTAACACATGCAATCCCGGAATGGAACCCCCAAAATCCCCAAGGGGGGGTGAGGGGTACTACTGGGAATTCTTGGTGGGGGTGTGCCGCTCGGTTCTCCAAATCCTGAACCCTTTTCCGACCAAGAAATTTCATTATTCACACCCAAAAAAGTACTTTTACAAGCAATTTTTATTCACTAGTTTACAGGTAAAAAAAACAGTTGAACATTACCTTTCTAGCATGCATTGAGGACACGTTTCAAGAGCAGTAGTAGTTGTCCTTTGACCACGCATGATTGTCCCCCAAAATACTCAACATGTAACCAACCCGTGATGTGACGACAGTTTCTGGCATTTGGCAATAAGTTTAACTCTTTCAACAAGCTTAATGCTGATGTAATACTGGTGTAATTGTGTTTCCGTTGAAGTCCGTATTTTACGTTGAAAAAACTTATTAAACATACACATTCTTTTGATGCAATCAGTTAGGGAATCAAGCAAATGCAAGTGCAGTTCTCTCTTCTCTTTGTATTCCACTGAGCCTTGGTTCTCTTGAGTAGGTCATATTGGATAAATAAAATCATTATTTATTGAAGACTGTTGAAGACAACCCAGAAAAGACACCTGGAAAGAATGATGACACCATTCAGTGATATAAACAACGTCACTGTAGGTTTAAATGTCAAGTCTGTCTTGACATAACTTACCTCTTCCTGAAAAACCTAATTGTCGGTGATGTCTCAGCTATAGTTTTTCTTCTCGCTTTGCTGTCCCTTGGGTGTTTGTATTCATCGCTGGAAGTGGTATTAAGAGTCTTTTGACCAAAATCAACTGCACACAGCAGTATTCTCTGCCCAGATAACTTACGTTTTTATTAATATATTGTTATTGCTTATATAATTTTTTTCAAAACAGTCAGCTGGAACCTTCTTTTACATATTCCGTATTCCGTTTCCTTTTCCATTTCTGTTTCCATTTCCATGATTCCATTTCCAATTTCCGGATTCTGTGTTTTAGTGCTGACCTATGCACATACACTTGTGCATACAGCTGAAATCTGGAAGAAATGATTTTTTATTAAATTCCTGATTGCATTTTTATAGTATTAAATTGGAATGACTGATAAATTTTTCTCATTATATTATATTTGTTTATCATTATTTTTATTATTCCATAACACTAGAGATGGGTAAAATAAACAATTAACTGCTGCATTTCCTTTCTATTTATTTACCGAAACTGTCCTGCGGAAGACGCAGGAAATGGCATTTCCAAGACCCTAAATTTAAAAACTCTGTGGGGGAGCAGCCCCCAGATCCCCCCTACTATAAAAATCATTTGCCTAACACACAATTCTGTGTATTAAAAAATAAAAATGTCATCAAAGAGTCATTAATGTGTGGGTTACAAAAAATGTACCCACCCCATGGGGTGTACCACTGGAAATTATGGGAATGATGGAAGTGTATAAAAGAAAAAAAAATTATTCCTTGATTCAAACATTGTATAAAATATTTATGCAATCCAACATAAGTTAATTTTCATAACCCTAAAAATAATGTTAAAAATCTACTGAAAAAAGCTTTTGTAATGTTTCCAGGTAACTTAAATCCTGTGGCATTCAGGTTAAACAGCTTACTATCTTTAGTACATGTAATAATCTTCCATGATTGTTATGTAATAGATCACCAAGTTGCACCATGACGTCAGAACTCCCCTCATTGACTGGAAAAGTGTGTCTTGTGACAGGAGCATCTCGGGGGATTGGTAAAGGTATTGCCTTGATGTTGGCCAAGGCAGGAGCCACTGTGTATATTACAGGTCAGTTTGACTTTTTAGGAAATTGTCTTATGGTTTGATAAATCCTCTGTTAAGGGCTCCTCTCTAAAAGATGCTGAAAGGTGTGTACTCCTGGAACATTTTGGCCATTTGCAGCATTGTTCCCTGAATCCCTTACCCTATCATTATATTATATTTATTAAAACATAATGCGATTTCTCCTACCCTGTTTCAGACTTGACCTGCCTTTCTAAAGAGACATTATTGTGATAAGTCGAGCTTGCTTAGCAGCAAGACTCTAAAAATGCAAGCATTTCTTTTTTTGTTTCTCATGTGTGCTCACCAAATGGGGATCATGGTCCCAGGTGTACCTAGCGGAGACCGTGGAAACTGGGCATTAGAATCGAGATGTGTCGGACAACATATTACTCATAGTACTGTGCATCTTAAGTTTGTGAAGAAAGCTTAATTCGGAGAGATTAATGGGAAAGATGTCAAGTTTTTCTAGAATGGGTGGGTCCATGGATTATATTGCTCAAAAGCACTGATTGCATTGGAACAAGTGAATACTTTAGAGGTTGGAAAAAAAAAAGAAAGGTCTGGGAGTACCCCCCTGTTCAAGAAAACAAGTAGCACCAAAAGAAAGATTTGGTTCCTCTGACTCTTAACAGTTAAGATTAGTATGTTAAGTATCCGGTCAGTGTGAAACGCAGACTGCGGACTGCGGACCAGGGGTAAAATGCAGACTGAGTGTTAAATGCAGACAGCAGACTAAGAGTAAAATGCAGACTGGGGTAAAATGCAGACCGAGCATAAACTGTAGTCGTTGAAGGGTTTAAGGGCAAAAAAATCCCGCAAATACATGAAAGCGAACACTTACTTGACGACATCTGCTTGCACAAATCCATTCCTTTCTTCTCTGGAATGTCGTCGATGACCCGAAAACATAATCGCAATCTTGAACCTTATTTCTGTCCGAGAGACTTCACGCTTCAACTTTAGATGCAAAGTTTTCCATATACGTGACCAGGGACCGTGAACTGGTACAACACCACGATGTTTAAGCTTAAATGAAAGCTGCTGACCCAAAATACTGTACAGGAAGGATTATGGCGACAAAAAAGGAGTAAATCATTCCAACAACAAAGAAAGATATTCTGCGGGAAATTTGGATGACCTTCTATGAAAGTATTGCAAATCAAGGTACGCAGACTTAAGCTGTTTGGATTTTCATTGAAACTTCTGGCGAATGTGCCATGTACTTCGACTAGGAAGTGAAGTGTGTAACTGATACCGGCTAGCTATTTCACCGATTTGGAGAAGAAGGAGCACAAATGTTTCAAAATGTCTACAGTTTTTATCCTGCATTTTGCATCCAGCCTGCGTTTTACTCTCAGTCTGCAGTCTGCATTTTACCCCTGGTCCGCAGTCTGCAGTCTGCAGTCTGCAGTCCGCAGTCTGCATTTTACACTGACCGGTTAAGTATCCAACAGTCTATAGATGTCAGGTTTAATGTTACAGACTCCCCCCACCCCTTTCCACCAAGAAAGCTGGTCGAGTGCCATATTGTTAACAAATCTAGATACTAAAATAATAAAAGGTAATGTTTGTGAAGTTATATCAGCCATATAATGACTAGATTTTGTCTTAGCGAAAAGTTATTTTTCATTAGTGACTTCCATTTGTAGTCATATTTCTTTATTTTTTTTAGCTCTGCCCACATTTTGCAACTGTAGGGTGGATCTAAGGTTATTTTAAGAGGGCGGGGGGTGGGGGGTGGGAGGTGGGAGGTGGGGGGTTGGTTAAAGTTTCACTAAGCTGAAACTGTAAATTGACTTATAAATTTAAGTTTTATAGACATGACAAAAACCAACATACTTATTGTCCAAATTACTCTGACAAATTATGCATGGCTTTGTTAAATTCCTCATTGTCTTGCTTCGTTCTTTATTGCTATGCTTTTGTGCAGTATATGTGAAGGCAATACAATACAATGCCATGCATAAATTTGTCAGAATATTGGACAACCCTCAAAACCTAGGGAAAATTAACCACACAAAATTTGGCTATTTAATGACTGTCTAGCGATTAAGAGTCTATTTCTAAGGGGTAATAATGATTTCCTAGGGGTGTTACCCCCAGACTGGCCCCCTAGATATTCCCACTTTCAGCAGACATTTTTGGGACTCCCTGAAAAATAAATCCTAGATCTGCCCCAGATATACAACAGTTTTTCTGCATGAACATGTACTTTGTAAAGGTACTATTTTATTTGGTAGGAAGGACTCTTGAAGCCACAGAGGGTAAGACTGGGTCACTGTGACAAACAGCTGAGGAGGTAATCAGATAACATTCTGTAGCTTTTGCAATTGTCTTTGCATACCTGCTCAATTGGAAAATTCTGGCCTTAATTCTAATGTTGAAGTTACTCAGCAGCCAGCTGCAAAGAGGGGCTGCTCAGAAGGGATTTGTTCAGGTCGCCTTGCATGTAGTTGGACAAACCAGAAAAGTGAGCCTTTCTATGGGTATACCTGTGGATGTCATTTTTGTCACACGTTTTCTGTCTAATCGTCAGTTTTTTTTTCAACAAAATTGTTGCATATCAAGAATGGTTAAATTGCATGGTAACCCTAAGGACTAGTGATCTCAAAAATAAGAAACCATGCATAACAATGACAAAGGAAAGTGTAACAGGTTTAATCAGCATAACAAAAGCTCTGAGTATACCCTGTTGTAGCACACTTTTTAGCAGATTTCTTTGCCATCCTTTCACAACTGTTAAATGTTGTCAAACTTCGTCAGAATGCAGATGTGATCATGGCTTTAGTCTCCAAGAACATCTCAGAATCCTTGCTTCATCAATAGCGTGTTACTTGCGTCTCAGTGTTTGTCAGAAATACCCATGGAGAGGTATTGTTGGGCATAAATTATATATGTTTACTATTGACTTTAACCATGCAAAGCTTTCAAAAGGACAGTCTTTGGTAGGGTATGACAGTCTTTGGGCACAATAAAGAAACAGTGCAATTTAAATCAGTAAGCAGCATTCAATATTAAAATTTGCAGTTAAACCTTCGCTGAAATATAGTGACTCACAGGGAAACAACTGTAGATGGACTAATTTATGCAACTGATTCCTTTTCTTTTGTTATATTTTCTTAGAAGTCATTTTATGTTCATCCTGCAAGAATTCTTATTAACCAGTGATTAATTTTTTTTAGATAGGACAAGAGAGTGCTGGACAGTGTATACCGGTGCAGTGTGACCATGGAAATGATGAAGAAGTCCAAAAGTTGTTTTATCAAGTCAACAAAGAACAAAATGGACGATTGGATGTCCTTGTCAACAATGCCTACAGTGGAGTGAAGGTATAGACTTTTATTTAACAAATAACTGATAAATAAATAAATACATGTACCATTTGAACTGGTAGCACATCCACAATATTTGAGGGTTTGTAGTCTTTTTAGCTCTTCAAATTCCATGACCTTAGCTTTAGCTCTCATTTTAAAATATTTCAAGACTTTCCTTGTTTTGGGGGTATTTTTTGACCTTACTCAGTTCAACAGATACAAACTGTCGTGTCCGCCAAAAATGTGTGCCATTTAGTTACTCATGTCAATCTTACATTGCCCTTGCTTCAACATTCTACAGTAACTAATCTACCAAACATAACTTTTATTTTCCACGACTTTCCAGGACCAACAATTGAATTCCATGACTTTTCCAGGCCTGGAAAAAATGAAGTTCTTAAATTTTATGGCATTCCAGGTTTTCCATAACTGAACCGTACGAACCCTACAATGTGTTTCTTTATCTACCATTTGGATTTACCGCTAACATTGCAAAGTAGATATGATGATTTTTAAGAAATACCCACTCAGAGAAAAACCTCTCAAAACAAGGAGGAGAATAGCCTGCGGGGAAGTTCTCCTGGGGCGATCTGGCGGTGGGGCAAAAAGGAGAGAGGTTTGAAAGGTTTCAAGCCAATAAAGGTGTCTCGCCTCTTAGCCTGTAAGCAAGCTCTCCCACAGGAACATAACATCATTGCCTGATTAAAAATCAACTAATCAGCATTTCGCATCCGATTCTGGGACGCAGATTTTCAATTTTATGAGATGCGAGTGCAAGCTCTCCTTCCCCTTTTCCCTCTCCCACCCCCGTACCCCTGGGAACCCCAGAAGAGCTTGCTCACAGGCTAGGAGGAGAAAGTAACAGCAAACTTAATTCACATGTGACCTTTTTGGGTGAATGAGGTCTCTGCAATGGAAACAAGACGACATTTTTTTTTGGGAGAGATGGGGGGTTGTTCTGGGCCTGTATGCCTTTTTTTTATTTTCGCGGCACTGAGACCGGAACCCGCACTTGAAAAGTCTCTGGCATCAGTATGCTTATAGTGAACATATGTTACTGACAGTTATTTTTGTGTTATGCTTAGGCGATTTTTGATAATGTTGGAAAACCATTTTATGAACAGGTAAGGATTTATTTTGATAAGTGACAGTTTTAAAGAATTCTGCTTTCACCAAATATTAATCTATATTTCTCTTGGAGAACATTTAATCAACTTGCAATTAAAATATAGAATACATTTCAAGCTCATAGTCTTGCCAGTTAAACAAACCCTAAACGATAGTTTTGCAACCGCCACTGGCTTCAGTTAAACCTGAAAACATGTGAAACTTTCTTTCTAGTTAGAAGCGCTGAAAATTCTGATGATCGACCTAGAACTTAACTGACCATTTCACATGCATCTCCGTAAATGTCATCCATTGCCGTATAACTCGTACACTTATGCAAAAAGACCTAGGTATTCTAAGTGTGGTCTAAATGTTAAAAGAAATTGCAAAACCGCAATCGGACCAGTCGCACAAAATTTTCATCTTCCTAATCATGTAATGTTGTTTGAAGTGTTTAACGGTGCTTATAGATCGTTTTCGCATGACGTCACGTCCGCCATATTGGTGTTTCAAAACAATATAACGGCGGTGATGTTGGTGTCCCAAACCAATCCTGTGGGAGTTCAACTCTTTTCTTATGTAAACACTCTTTTGTTCCAATAATTTTGCATAGATGCTGGTCACGTGAGTGAAAACGCACTATACTTGGAATTCAATTGAAACGCAAGACGTTTTTAAATGATAGCAAACAGCGTGAAATGACCTCTTTAAGAAGCTGTGGTTGCACCCAATGTGTTTCTGTCGTTCAAATCCTCTTTTCTTTTCCTCTCTTTTTTTCTCTTCCCTCCTTTGTTCACAGTTTCCGTCTTATCTTTAGCCTACAAGCATGTGGGATCAAATGAATAATGTGGGGCTCAGGTTAGCACATTCATATGTTTAAGGAATAGTCTGTTGCAGGCATTGTTTTAGTTACACGTTTCAATACTTTCTTGACTCTCTGCATTCAGTGGCCACTTGTGGTTTCACATGAGACTTGACTGAATTCTACCACGGGATTGTTCTTTATTTGCGAGGTTGCAGAGGAACCTGGGTCAAAATTCGTCCGCCAAAACACTCCCATGACGCACTTTGACACTTCAACTGGGACACAGCCTTTTGTGAAAACTTGCTCAAAATGGTTAATTCCTCCGAAATGACTTGTGCCCCATTGATACCGAAACTTAAGCAGGACTTCTTTATATAGAGATTCGTTATATCGAGGTTCCACTGTATCCTCCTTTGAGACTGTTCATGAGATAAGTTTGAATGCTCTTCAAAACTGGTGTCCTATATTACCACTGTTCAAATTGGCTAAAGAAGATAAAGAGATTTGGTGACCTATTAAAATTAGTCTTCGCCCTGGGTTCTTTACCTAAGCAATAGACCACGCCTTCTATGGGTTTACTGGCGTGATAACCCACTTTGGGATGTTGGGAGAACACTTGAAAAGCTTGTAAATCACGAGCCTCGGCTCGTGATTTACAAGCTTTTCGAGTGTTCTCCCGAACATCCCAAGTGGGTTATCACGCTTGTAAACCCACAGAAAGTGTGGTCTATTGCTTTTATAAAATAACTTTAAGTAAACTATGAGTTTACCGGCACAATAAACCATAGGTTTTTAACCAATCAGAACTCGCATACTATCTTAGTTATTTTATAGAAAGATATAAACAAATGGTAGAGCGATTTTTGTTTGACTTTGAGATGAAAACACGCGAACAAAACAGAAACAACAATCGAAAGGAAATAGAGCGATTTGATTGGTTTATCGACCGGATACAAACGCGCGTGGCTTTTGATTGGTTAAGCGAAAGCTCGGGTGAAAAAATTTCATGCCCTGGAACTTTCTAGAAATCAATCGATACTTCACTTTGACGTCATACTGCAACACGATTGGCCAATCGAACAATGCCTTCTCCATATTAGAATTTTGTTTGGCGGGAAAGCGAAGAGTCCATGTTTTGATCTTTTCATCCATTGGCTGATAAAACAAATAACGGACACTTACCAAAACCATTTTTCAAGGTCATGCGAAAATCGCTCTATCCTTTGTGTCCCTTTTCTCCCTCCAGGTCTAATTACATTGCCGCGTGGCATGCAGCCAAGGTGATGGTTCCTGCCAAACAAGGACTTATAGTCAACGTTTCGTCGCCCGGAGGATTGAGATATCTCTTCAACGTTGCATATGGTGTAGGAAAGGCTGCGGTAAGACACACCACAGTGGGACCCGGTCAATACTAATACCAGAGGGACATGCCATAGTATCCTTAAAATCCGGGTGTCCATATTAAGCGAGCTCTGAGAAAAAAACGTCACGGGCGCACATTTTGTCGATGCAAAGAATTAAGCAGACATTTTAACGAGAAAGCGTTGTTTAATTACTTAACTGTAACTCCAACAAGTTTATCCTAAAGAAATCTTTCGATCGTGTGTCATTGTCTCAGACTAAAATAACCTTTTAAGTACTGTTCTTGAAACATGACAATGGAATCCATGGCGTTACTTTGTATTGACGCTTTTTGTTTGAGAGACTCAGCCAGGCGCGCTGAATATTAGGCAGACCTTTTGAAAAGTTACTGGCCTTTTCTGTTAGGTTTTCATTGGTAAGAAATTAAGTTATAGTCAGTGTGCAGAAGAGAACTGTCCATAATCAGGGTTGATGATGTATGAGAGTTTGTACCTCGGGACCGTTGTCCGTATAAATCGGTGTGGTTATTTTTAGAGAAAATATGTGAACTTTTTGTCGGGACAAACAAAACTGTCGGTCATAGTATACGGGTGTTCGTGGAGCGGGGTTCCACTGTTCTTTTTTGTGTGCCTTTTCTCTTTAGCACCGAGAAATTGTTTTTGTCGGTTTGCCGTATAGAGGGGATGCAAGAACGGTGGGTGTACTGTTGTTTTCCAGTGCTTCATGACTTTTGCAACAGGTGTGGAATAGACTACTTCATGCTCTCGAGTGCGGAATAGATAATCTGAGGAAAATGGCAGGAAATTTAGAAGTTTTTAAGGTTAAAGTTAAACAATACCATAGTCTTCCTGAATTAATGCGTTTAAGACACTATATGGCAAAGCTAACATGGTACAACTTTAGCCTACAGATATTTCACCATTTTGATTGGTACAATAAATAATTGCGTGAAAAGATCATAATTCAGTTTCCAGTCATTTAAATTGAAATTCAGTTATATTAGAACTCAAGGGAACTATATTTGTGGTAGTTTTTTTCTCTTTTTTGCTGGGAGTTTGTGTTTGCAGCAATCAATTGAGAACCTTTCAAGAAATTCGCCAGAATTTCCAAGCGATATGTCTTGACTTCTGCCGCTTAAACGCATGTTGTTCTGAATTATGATTTAAATATTAGGACGTATTTTAGGGTCACCTTGAATGCATCAATATTAGGTATTAAAGCGTTGTTATCTTACATAGAATGATCGAATGGCTGCGGATATGGCTGTGGAGCTGAAGAAACAGAATGTTGCCTGCGTGTCACTTTGGCCTGGAGCTGTGATGACTGAACATGTCAATGACTTTTTAAGCCAACCACAAGATGAGATTGTAATTTTTTTGTATTTATATTTCTTACCCCTCCCACCGCCCCCCCACTCGCCCCCGCTCCATGCCTCAGTTGCATCTGCAGAATAGTGAAGAGAAGTTTGATGTCAGAAAAATTAAAATTTGTGACATTATGGGATTGGATGGCATATTCAGAACGAACAAGATGAAGAAGGCCCTTTTGCCAAAAATCAGCTTTTAAGTGCAAATTGGCGGGTAGATATAAGGACCTTTACGCTCTTTTGACTCCGGACAAATCCCTCTGAAAGTGACTTGGATTGAATCGTTTACGGTCCAGGCCTTGTCTAGAACAATTTTTTTTTGGAGTCATTGGTGCATAACAATGCTTGGATTTCCCCGACAATTTGCACAAATAGTCTGATTTTTAGTAAGTGAACATTTTTCATCTTGCTCTTTCAGGATATGCCAACCTATCCAATAGTTTCACAGATTTAGTTTTTGTGACGTCATCAACCCTCTTCTGTACTCAAAAGAACTTCTGCAGAATGCGCGCGCATAGCCGTCACATTTGTTCGCTGGAATTTCTCAAGTTAACCAGCTCTTTGAACTTTTATTAAACTTAATTTGTATTTGCGGCTGCTCCTTTTCATTCTAAACATTATGACGTCAGCAAAGATTCGCCCGAGTGATTTGTTTAGATGTTCAAGTAATGTTGGCTGGAGTTAACTAAACGAAAAGAAGCGTTTTATCAGATCTGAAGCACGATACAAGCCAAGTGTTTTTAGTTGTGCTAAAACAAAAACTCCGATTTTATTTAGACGGCTTTACCAAATTTTTCTAGATCTATTTATCGACCGCAATTGTCAACGAAGAAAGGTGTGTAGAAAATAGCTATTTACACGATTTAGGAACAGACACTCATCAAATAAAACTTCCGCCTTGCTTGTGTAAAGGCAACTTTTATAAGTTTCTGTAAATTTTAAAGTGAAATTGCCGTCATTGACTTACAGCGTATTTTCGGATGAAATAACTCGAAATATCACCAAGAAATTCTGCCAAAATTCTTGAAAATGAACGTTAAGATTTGTTATTGATTACACGAGCACGATGAAATATTCGGTTCAGGTCTGTTTTCTTTAAATTAGTCTACTTGTTGTTTTGTTACCTTAAAGTCCAGCAAGGCAGCTGCAATTCTCAAAGATGCTGAGGATCCAACGTTTTCAGGCAAGGCCGTGGCTTGGTTGGCTGCAGGTATCATTATAGTCGATTTGTTAAACCCTCTAAGCCTCAATATCAACATAGAAATTCTTCAGACTGATCACCTTACATTTCCATAAGAAGGTTTGTTCCGAGAATTTGTTAAAAGATCAAAGCGTTTTCTCTTTAGTGATCGTTGTGTGAAGTCTTAAAATCATAGTCTTTTTTCTTAATGATGTATGGATATTTTGTGTGACGAGAAAATTGAGGTTAGTCTTTCTTTTGGACTGGAGGGGTCAGAGAAATCAACAAATATATAAATGAATATTTAAGTTAATATTGTTGAATAATCCCCGAGACGAAGTCGAGGGGATTATTCAACAATATTAACTGAGCCTGAGGTGAATAATTGTTTTAGTATATTCACACGAAGTGATCTCAATTTTGAAAATTCATGCGTGAACACGAAGCCGTAAACAGGGGATGCGCAAAAGTTAGATCTTTACATTATCTTCAAACATGGCAAATGATAGTTTTAATCCTTTTGAATCGAGTTTTGTAAGCTTTAGCATCAACGGTCTTAAAGAAAACGCCGAAAATTTAAATTGCTACCCAATTCTGAGAAGAAAAGTATCTAGAGCTTTATTTGTTTCTGTCAACTCACCGTGAATGAGAAAGTTTTCTTCGTCGCTTCTTGCAAATGCTGTCAACAGCGGCTGCGATCGAGGTGAGCGTTGTTTATCTCCAAAGTTCTTTGCCTTGTTAACTTGCTGGCACGTACAATTTTCGAAAATATTTGCCTTCCTCTCTTCTCCATAAATTAACTTCTATTTATAGGCAAAATTGGTCTTGCGAGAAAATCCCGAAATCACAAAACAGTGACAAAGCGACCTCGTTTTCCTCTGTAGTGGTAAACATAGCTTCGAGCGTACAAAAAGTCAGCTAAAGTAAACCACTTCACAATAAATCACGCTGTTTAAACACCATGAAGTCTTTTCTTGCCTTCAAAGTCATCAGCACTTGGATATTCGTGTATTTTCAAAAAGGTTTTACTTTGAAACTTTGGCAAAACACCCAGTTCACGACAGCGATTTTGTTTGGCTTTATATTCACCGCCTAGCGCGGTGAATATAACGTCATAGTCCGAGATAGCTAACCAATCAGATTGCTTGAATTGCCAAGATCACTGAGTGTGTATATACTAATAATAAATAAATACTTCACGAATAAAGATTGAAGCAGAGTGACGATCATCGCCACTCTCCTTCTCCGATGATCGCCACTCTCCTTCAATCTTTATTCGTGGAGTATTTATTTATTATTATTATATGGCAAAGCCAGTCTTAGGCAAATCTCTGTGCTCTGATTAGTTCTTTCTCGGTCAGGATTTTGCAGTACGGACCGTTTCAATGGAAACGGTCCAACCCGTGTATTTTAGTTTTGGAGCGACGCCGGAAATTCAAAATTTGCAACCAAAACAGCGAAAAAAGGCTTTGAATATTGTCATTCTTCACAGTGAAACTACCAGAAGAAGCTAAAAAGATTGAAATTTTTCCGAAATTTCAAAGATGGATGAAGAAGACGAACATTCTCCAATTGAGTTTTATTATCCTGAAGATCTAGAAACTTTTGATGTAGAAACTGAAGCAGGCATCACCGAAAGCCAGGAGGCCATAGACGATTTTATCAACCAACAGAAAAGTACAAACACAAACAAGAAGACGGCTACTGATATGGACACTCTTCTCCGCTACATGGAAGCTAATGGTATGAAAAATGAGAAAATTGAAAGCTTACCTGCGTCCGAGCTTGACTTCCTTTTGTGGAATTTTTTTTTGAACGCACGCAAGAAAAATGGAGAAGAGTACGAGCCAGCAACAGTTTCCAGTTTTCAGCGTAGTATACAGCGATACTTAAGTGAGAAGAAATATCCATTTAACATACTCAAGGACAATGAGTTCGAAAAATCTAGAAAAGTCCTTGCAGCGAAGCGAAAGTCACTTGTTCACGAGCACGGCAAAGGAAACAAACCGCCAGCTGCTCAGGCTATCGACGAAGACCAAGAGGATACCCTTTTTGAAGCAGGAGAATTCGGCGACTCCAATCCAGTTTCACTTCAAAGAACTATGTGGTGGTTTTTATCCCTACACTCTGTTTCCGAGCAAGAGACGAAAGTCGTAAGTTGCGCTGGGGTGACGTTCAGCTTCAACAGCAGAATGATGGCCAAGAAGTCTTGGTTTGGTTGGCCGAGCGAGGCACAAAGACCCGACATGGTCAGGAGAGAGGACACCAAAGAGCGTTCCAACCAAAGATTTATGCCACCAGCACAGCGAGATGTCCTGTCTGTTTTTACAAAAAATTCCGCAGTCACCGGCCAGTGGAAATGAACGCACCAGAATCACCGTTTTACTTAGCAGTCCGCCATAATCGACGATCAAATGAAGAAGTTTGGTATATGAAGGCACCCCTCGGAAAAAATGAGATAGGCAAGTTTCTGTCCACTGCAGCGAAGAATGCTGGCCTTCACAGAGAGGGAAAATCATTCTGTCAGGAAAACCTGTATTTCGAGGCTCCTTGATGCTGATGTTCCAGAGAACTTTGTAGCCCAACTGAGTGGCCACAAAAGCACGGAGAGTTTACAGTCCTACAAATCTGCCAGTGCTAAACACCAAAAGAGGATGTCCTTGACCCTCAGCAGAGCTGATGTTTCTGGATCCAGAGATGAAGCGTTATCAAGTGTCCATAATCAAGGGTTTGAAGTAGTAACTCGCTCGACTACAGACATCGCTGCAAGTTCGACAACAACTACATTGATTGATCAGTCAAGCGATCCGTTACTGTCTTCCACCGCTCCAATTTTTACAGGTGCAAACATAGGATCCATCAGTGGGTGCACATTCCAAATATTTCACGGCAATGTGAAAATTGTCCAGAATGAAAGGAACTGTCGGATTCTTATCGATAGCGATGAGGACGATTGACTTTGAAGCTATTTTTTATCAACTTTGTCCAGTTTTGAATTAATTTTCACAGCTTCACTTGACACTGACTTGATCCATATTTTGTAACCAAGAAAATATTGTTTGATCGACGAGAAACCCTTTCTCGAGTTTTAGAATCAACAACTGCTTTTCTCAGATTCCGTTACAGTGCGTTTTTGAAGTTTTGTTTAAGCTAATTTTAGACGATTTCACATTCAATAAATTTGTTTTTCGAAATCGTGGTAGCTTGCTTTTGTCTGAGCTGCTCGCGTCATCACGAATACTTCACGGCGGAAGCCCTTTAACTACAAGCCACCGGAAGTGCATTTTACTATCAGAAACAGAGTGCCATGTAATAAACAACTTACTAACCGAGCTTGCTCGGGCCAATATTCCCCAGTACAGCCCGAGCAAACTCGGTTAGTAAGCGGTTGATATTCATTTACATATTTATTTGTTTATTTATTTATTTTTTGTCGGAGACTAAACACAGACCTCCACGCTGTCGCTGCCTTATCTGTCCACGAGTTATGAAGGCTCTGCATTGTGTATTGCAAAATCAAATACTCCTGGGAAGTCTCGAAAAGCCAATACATCATAAAAACCTTAAAGCAAATATGATGTATTTTGTGACTGATTTCTCTGAGTTTTAAAGATCAGTCGGAATGGCATTTTGAACAACAGCCAGTGGCAATTTTTCGCTTTTAACACGACACATTTAATCTGACCTGTGCTTAAATACAGCCACTCTAAATACAGGCTATATCTAACAGACGAACCATTAAAAAACTTATAGGGAGGAGGGCAAAGTAGGAAAAATTATTCTTGCTAGGGAAAATTACATGAAAAAAATCATGCACGCTAAGAAACACTAAAAAATATTAATGCACCGATCTAAAAAATTCATACAAGGGAAATGTTAACCAAAAAAATTCATGCGGCTCGAAGATTCCCCACCCCTCCACTTATAACTTTTCTAATGGTCCGTCCCTAACAGTTAAAAGTTCCTCATTGGCTTTACAGTTGTGACGTTAATCGAAATTCGAAGCTTTTTGTCAGGGAATTATTTAAAACTTGGCTTTTTGAAACTGAAAAACGGCTGCTTATTCATGATTTTTTTTTAAGATCTAGGAGTATGGTGCTATTTAAGTCAGTTTTTATAGTTTCCAAAAGCCGCAGCCATGTTGTGAATTACTCTTTTAAATTCATTTTACCATGCAATTATATATATATATTTTTCAGCCCATGGAAGCAAATCGCTTATCGAAGGTTACGGGGTTTAGGGGTAGCTTGGAAATTTTGAGCGCAGTGTAGTAGAAACAGCGGCAAAGCGAGATTAGACTAGTCACCAGTCTTCTGGTCAGTCTCGCTCATACCCTATACTCTACTGCTTAATGCCAGTCCAGTTTTCTATTTTCTTTTCATATTTAATCATTGATGCCGATAACCAGTTTTTGAAATTTCTACAACGTTAGATGCCGACATCATGAAGAAGAGCGGGCGCATTCTGTTAACAGCTGAGTTGGGGCGTGAATACGGCTTCAAAGACGTCGGAGGTGAGTTAATAGGGAGTTTTAGGGCCTGGTGACTTGGAGGTGAGGGACCCCAGGTAGGTGAGGTAACTCGCTTAGGTGGGGGTAACCCGCCTGTTCTTATAAACTCTCATATGATCACCCCACCTATCATGTAAAAGTGATGAAATTAAAATGAGAGATTATATTCTCAGGCAGGTTACCCCACCTAAGTGGGTTACCTCGCGTTCCTGGGGTTCCCTCAACCCCCCCGCCATGTAAAAAGGCCGTATGATGCCACGACGGCAACGGCAACGGCAAAGAGAACGTCGTAAAAGCAAAAGGTTGAATAGGCTAAACAACAACTCTGCACTTGTTGTTCAACACTTTTTTTGTTCATTTTTTGCCGTCACAGCACGCCAACAGCGACGTGAGAATGCCTAGTTTTACGTTTAATAGAGGACTTGAACAAGCGATTACGATTTTTTTTTTCTCTTTCTGAACGTGGATTTGGTTCTGAGGGAGTCAATTCCTGGAGAGATTGCTTCAGCTGTCGCTTGCATTTCACAAAGCGAGGGAGTTGGAATGATCGCGATCACTGAAAGTACGCGAATTCACTTTCAAGGGACGTTTTCTCTTTTTCATTGCACCTTCCTGTTTGTAAACAGCAAATATGGCAGCGAAGCCCGTCCAGATCGATCGCTCGTGAAAATTTCTTAGCCCCGCTGCAATACTCCAGCATACATTAATGAAAATCCGTTTATTCTTTTAGGAGTCGAGCCATTATCATTTCGACAAGTCAAGAAACTTGTCTCCTTTGAATATCCTTCCGTGTCGTGGATGATCCCTGAGTTTGTTTATGTTCCACGCTGGTTAATGGCAGCAAGCAGTCATAAGTTTTGATGGCGTTTGCATGTGAGATATCTAGCTATCTGTCAGTGGATGAAAGAAGTTTGTGAAGTTTAGCCTCGTTTTGAAAGTAAACGGTTTTGGAACTCGGAAATGGCTTGGGTAGATGGATAATTACCCAATGGCCGTTTTTATTGTAAGGATGCATTATCCGTCTGGACGAACTTGGGCAAACGTTTTGCAGTTCGTCTAGGTTATGCGTCTCAGGTATAAAGACGGGCACAAGACGCATTATGTGTCCAGACGAACTACCTTTCGTAGTGCGTGGTTCAAGACGTATTTCGAAGGAAAGTTCATCCAGACGCATAATGCGTCTTGTGCCCGTCTTTATACTTGAGACGCATAACCAGCAAACTACAAATGTTTACTCAAGTTCGTCCAGACGGATAATGCGTCCTTAGTATAAAAACGGCCATAGACACATTCTCCGTCTGGACAGATAATAGTCCATGGGCCAAGTGGCTTTTCATTACCACTCGGGGGGACAAAGGCTACCATATATCAAATTAAAGCTTATCATGTGTAGATTTCAAAAATATATGATGGAAATGTTGTAAGAGTAGCTTAAGGGAGTCATGTGACCTTGAATTTTGCATAATTAGCATAAATTGATAATATACTAAAATGCGGCTTTTAGCAAGTAAGGCTGTAGATTCTGCATAAAATAAAGCAGGCATAGATAAGATATAATGTCTGTAAAGTATTTTGTCACTTTTAAGGATAAATAGTCACGTGGCAGTGACGTCACTTCCGGTCGCGGTAAAAAAACTCAATTTTTGTCTATAGTTTTACTTTTTCCCCATTTTTCTTTTATGTGATTCAAAAATACAATTCAGAGTATTTTGACCATAAAAAGCACGAAAAGATATATAGCAATTAGCATTATTCTAAACTGGGTACCCTGTGTTCTTAGCATGATAAGTGTTTCTCATGGGAAGGTGATATGTTGAAAGTGTTACACTTACACTCAAGAGACTTTAGTCAAAGTCAACGTGCTCTTCATCCAGGTCTACTTGGATGTCCTCCTCTTCATCTGGCTGGTTAGAACAAGTTATTAGGCGGCAAAGGTCGGAGCACTTTAAGCCATTTCGAATGCAGTCACATGAATCATCATTACAGGCCGTCTTGCACATACATGACATAAGCTCTATTACAGCTGTTGGTGCCGGGAGTCCACTCATCCAATCTATCACCAATCTCTCTTGAGCTCCGTCATTTACAAGAGACCAGCCATGACCAACTGGGGATGGAATGTCGTTGTTTCGTAGATAATTTTTCCATATCGCCGCTTGATAGTTGGCTCGCCGGCAATGCTTGTACAAGCTGTCTTGGCATGGAGGCAGCTGATGGGATTCCGCTTCACCTGAATGAATATATGAATTTAGTATATACACACTCAGTGATCTTGGTAATTCAAGCAATCTGATTGGTTAGCTATCTCGGACTATGACGTTATATTCACCGCGCTAGGCGGTGAATATAAAGCCGAACAAAATCGCTGTCGTGAACTGGGTGTTTTGCCAAAGTTTCAAAGTAAAACCTTTTTGAAAATACACGAATATCCAAGTGCTGATGACTTTGAAGGCAAGAAAAGACTTCATGGTGTTTAAACAGCGTGATTTATTGTGAAGTGGTTTACTTTAGCTGACTTTTTGTACGCTCGAAGCTATGTTTACCACTACAGAGGAAAACGAGGTCGCTTTGTCACTGTTTTGTGATTTCGGGATTTTCTCGCAAGACCAATTTTGCCTATAAATAGAAGTTAATTTATGGAGAAGAGAGGAAGGCAAATATTTTCGAAAATTGTACGTGCCAGCAAGTTAACAAGGCAAAGAACTTTGGAGATAAACAACGCCTACCTTGATCGCAGCCGCTGTAGACAGCATTTGCAAGAGGCGACGAAGAAAACTTTCTCATTCACGGTGAGTTGACAGAAACACATAAAGCTCTAGATACTTTTCTTCTCAGAATTGGGTAGTAATTTAAATTTTCGGCGTTTTCTTTTAAACCGTTGATGCTAAAGCTTACAAAACTCGATACAAAAGGATTAAAACTATCATTTGCCATGTTTGAAGATACTGTAAAGATCCAACTTTTGCACATCCACTGTTTACGGCTTCGTGTTCACGCATGAATTTTCACCCGTCAATCAAACTAATCGTTTTTTAATGGTTTCCTTTCTGATTCTGTTGAGATCACTTAGTGTGAATATACTAAAACAATTATTCACCTCAGGCTCAGTTAATATTGTTGAATAATCTCCTCGACTTCGTCTCGGGGATTATTCAACAATATTAACTTCGCCTTCGGCGAATAATTGTTAAATATATCATAGGTACGGGGCGGGAAAACATTTACATTTACATTTATCGCTGAATTTATTTCTTTGTTATTGTGATCTAATTTCTTACTATTATGCAGATAGCTAGGTGTCTCCGATTAGCGAACTTCATATGACACTTTAAGAAAGTTTATTATTATTATAATTATTATTATTACCTTTCTTTGCACAGAAGACCGAATAACTGCATTGATTCACGTCTAAGATACCGTTCTTTGAGCCATACATATCACAGACAAATGCCTCTAACTGCATCAGAAGATCTTCAGACATCAACCAGTTTTCTCCAAGTTGCTGGAAAGTGCGTTGGTATTCCTTTTTCCTCAGTAACCTCTTCAGGGGCTTCACTTTCCCAATCCCTGCAAAGGCACTCACTGCATCACAACCCGTAAATGCGTGCAAACCTGGTAGTGCTTTGCACGCATCCTGGCCAATGACGTGGGCTATTTTTCCAATGTCGACATACCGAGCGTTCAGTTGAGAAACACAACGCTGATAAATAGGTACATCAATGGAAAATGAAAACGCTAGGCACAGGATTCTAACGTCTGTGTCTTCCGAGGATACAATGATTGACCTATATCGCTGCTCATTTGCTTCATGTTGCACATACAGGAGAAGTCGTGTATCAGCCTCCTCTTGTTCGGATCTTAGCTCTTCTTCTTCGTCTACTCTCTCGGCAGTGATCTTGTAGCATCGGTTTCCACTTGTTACATACAGCTCCTTGTCGTCCAGTCTCTTGCGACCCGGTGTTTGTTGCCAGTGTTCCACAACAAATCTGATAAGACTTGTTTTGTCGTCACCATTGCGTAAAAAATTCTTGAATTGCTTGACCTTCTGGCCATCCGCAAGGCTCTTGAAAGTTATTGCATCACTTTCACCTCTGAGTTCTCTTTCTGCTGATTTAATGGGAATGTCTCTGTACACGTCATATACGACATCCACTCTATCGCTACCCTCCGCCTCAAGCAACACTCTAGATAAAATATTGTCTGCGATCTCACCAAATGTGAGATAATCTACCTTCAGCTTTTGGACCAGAGCCATGCTATCTATTAGGTAAGCTGAAGGCCTTGTTACTTCTACCGTTGGCTGTATCAATTTCTCTAATTCTTTGCCAAGTTGTGCCTTATTGGTCTTGCGGGGAAAGCCACTGTTGCAGGCCAGGGAAACAGGAAGAGGGCCTAATGGGTGCTTTAACACATCTTGCATTTGCAGATTGCGGCTTTCAGCAATTATGATCATCCGCGCAAACAAATTTCGATCAGCGCGCAGAACAGTTTCTGTGTCTTTGCCCTTTGCCACTGTCTTGGTCTTCGATAAAGCACTGAAGGTTTTCAGCTTTTGCTTCTTCAATTTGTCATTGAACCTTACCGTTGGGGGCTGTGATTCGAGACGGGTCTTCTTGAAATCAGTATAGGCTGCATCTCGAACTTTATAGGCGGTCTCAAGGTCCTCTGCTATAGCAGTAGTGGCAACAGCTCCTGTTGAGATGCTGGACAGTTGCATATGACCTGCAAATGGATCTGTCCAGTTCTTGATTAAATCAACCATTGCGGCAACATCTTTCTCATCTTGGGCAATGCGAGACGAGTGAAGGTCAGCATGGCCGTGCTTCTCTTTGGCATAGCCAACCATTTCGCGCAAACTGCGCAGGAGCAAAGTTCTGAATTCTGCCATCAAGTAGTACCTTTGTACGTCTCCAGGTTTCAAACTAAAGCCCTTAGTACCCCCAGGTGTTTGGGTATCTCTGTTTACAGTTTGTTCAAGAGTCTGGTCAACGGGAATTCTTCCAAATGTATTGTCGTTGCTCAACTGAACTGAATAATAAAAGCCGCGTCCTCTAGTATGCAAAAAAACAGCCAACATTTCCTTTAAAAAAATACGACAAAAGGAATGTTGAAAAGTGGTTGCATTAAGCTTTTACAAAAGGAATGTTAGTTTTAACATATTTTAATATGTTACCACAATTTTTAATATAGTTTTGAGAAAAGTGTATACTGCCTTTTCCAGCAAACGCTTATTGGCGCATTCGGATCTTTTATGAGGTCCGCCGGGGGGCCCCGGGCCGATCGCGATCAGCCGTTGACAGTTTCACAAAGAAGGTTTTAGGAACTGGATAATATTTCCTCAGATAAGATGCAACGCTTGAGTAAGTGCTCTTGATCGAATGCTTTCCTTTTCCCTCGGCCGCTGGTTATTGGGAATGGATAATCTTCGTCAAAATTTGTCAATCGTGTTTTGTACGTCGTGGAACGCTGGTACACAGGAAATCAAATGTATATTAGCATTAATGAGAAAAAAAACTTTAATAAACATGAAGAGTTTAAGATAGCTAATATAAAAGTAAAAAAATTTATTGTAGATAGCTATTAAGCGACATATAGATTTGTGAATTAAACGTGCTTGATTTACTTAGTGAATGTTTTGTATTTTCTTCGTGGTTATTACCTTTAAAGCGAGTCTTCACTCCGCATGCCCTTTCCTCTGCAGAGGCCTCTTTTTGTCAAAGGGAGGCTGGGGAGACTCGCAACTTAAGAAACGAGAAAGGAACTGGGTTGAATTACTTACGCAAAGACTTCTGGGAATGTTGCTAGGGCCAAGGAAAAAAATTGGCCAATAGCTCACCTTCGCGGTCCCAGTAACGATCCCAGAAACATTTGCGGGACGCATTTCGGCTCCAGTTCCCTTTTCGTTTTTCAGTGGCGAATTTAAATTCCTCGTTGTTTTGATCCAGACTCAAAGATAAGAGGGAGATCCGGCTTCGAAAATCATTTTTCTCAGCCCTGCGGGCTTCAGTCTGGCCTAACAAGAAGGTGAGAGTCCCGGTCCTGGCACGGGCCCGGGCCTCGTCCCTGCCCTTAGATCCACCAATGTCATATATATATATTAAATATGATCATAACATTTCGTCTTTCTTGAGTAACCACACGCTGATTATAAGTGAGCATCGGCGGAACCCACATCAGATCAATTCCTTCTAAAATTTTTTTCATCTGATAAACTGTCAAAAAAACTCGATTCAGTGATTCATCTGCGGATACTTCGAGGTGCGTCCAAAAATACTTTGTCCGTCGTCAGTTTATTTAATTAACCTTGCCCTTCCGTTTCTTCTTATCGGATAAAAAGAGCACTGCGTCTCTTGTTTATTTCTTTCCAAATCCTCAAGCCTTGTCAAGGCTGATTCTGACGGAGAATCAGGAGAGCAAAAGGCCATTTCCGAGTTCCAAAATTCTCACGTTGAAAACGAGGCTAAGTGCAAACCTTTCTTGAGAAAATGGCTTCGCACTTTGCCTCGCTTTGAAACAGAGGCTTGTGGCTACTCGGAAATTCACTATTTAACGATTATTCCACGAGTGCACGTTGGATATGAGACGGTAGATAGCTTATATCCGACAAGTGCGAGTGGAATAATTGTTTTATTAAAAACGCCCACAAAATATCGAGAATTCTTCCCGATTTTATTTGTAAAACCAACCGATTTTTAGCTTGTTTTTAATTTTGAGTAGACGCGTACAGTTACCATAATCGGAGAGGATGGTATAATGCCTCGTACACCACGATGGCTAAGCCAATCAGAGCTCTAGAATTGTATTATCTAATGATTCAGTTTGTGATAATTTCACATGGACCATAACGCAAAATTCTTGCATAACTATTGTTTCCAATTCATCCTGGGTATTACAGTCGTCCCAAGCGAAATCGAAGACAATGGTTATGCAAAATTTTAAGGGGGTAAACAAGTTGCATTATGGTCGATGTGAAAATGGTGAATAGCCTATTTCTCCATTAATGCCTTGGTTAGTATTCACGTAACAACATTTCAAGCAGTATGCGCATCGCCGTGAAACCTACCCACTGGGCTCAAGCACACTCGATGCGGCAGTGGTATTTTGCAGAAAGCCGAACGGCTCTGACGTTTGGTGGTTAGAGTTAAGAAACTGAGTTAATCAAATTTCAGGTCAGTTTTCCCAGTATAATAACCTTAAATAATTTCCTAACCCTCATCACTAAACTTCAGAGTCATTCGGCGTTCTGCATTGTGCGTTTAGCTTTTTGCAAAATACCTCTTCCGCACTCGATGTCTTCCCCAGAGCCTTCGTTACTATTGTTCAGCGAGACGGGTATTGGACGCCGGAGTCTGTGTGAAAGAATTGAACTTCTGGTATGAGATTAAAGCCCACCAGACATATCTACCATGTCTATTACACCATTGCAACGCAAGCGTAGGTAACATTTACTTTTCCTGTTCCCCATATCGAACATAACGACGATGATGGCGTGTTTTCAGTTTTGAAATCACATTCAAAAGAAAGCTTTACCAATAGGCCAGATATGTACGAGGGAGGTCCAAACATACACCGAGAGAAGCAATCCCATACGGTTTAATTCACAAATACAAGTGCCAAGCACTGATTTCATGCTTACTAGGTCTCTGTAATAAATTTCGTCACTTATAAATTAGCTTTCTTGGAGAAACTAGACTACGAGTAGTCCCCATTTTTTTCTCACGGATAGTAGAGCGAGCGAAACGCGAGCGCGCGTACGTCGGTTGATTTTCACGCACGCTCGCGTTTCGCTCACTCTACTATCCCTGAGGAAAAATAAGGACTACTCGTAGTTTAGGAGAAAACATGCTTACCTTAATTAATATATGTATTTTAAATTACCTATACAACCCTTCCCCCTCTCACAACACACTAGGCTGGCCACGCACACCACTGTGCTATCATTCTATTCTATTCTCAGCCCTCCCCCATCTCACAACCCACCAGGTTGTATGTGAAAGGTTGGCTCGCTCAAGATAGCTCAGTTAGGCGGTACCCAATTACTATTTATAAATATAAACGGCCTTTTTTCAGACGTGTCTTGACACAAGACCTTTTAACCAGGATGTTAACTGGTGAAGTGAATAAATACTTACAACCACAGGCTGGATGAATGTTTACAACCTCAGCTGTTCAGTATGTCTTACAGCAAGGAGCCCAAAAGTGCGACCTCCTTTAATTAACTCACATTCTTTCATGCAGGCATTAACCAATTAGAAGTCGAGGACAGTTTCCAACTGGCTTCTGACTGGATAAAATCTGTACGAAAGAATGTGAATAAATCAAAAGCGGTCACACCTGTGGGCTCCTTCCTGTAAACAGTCTCTGTAAGCGTTACACTTGTTTCGATCTTGGTTTTATGTACAGATTTGACCTTGTCATATGAGGTGAAAAGGGGCTTTCGGTCCAGGCGAATTTATTAGGAAATTTAAATTTGTCTTTAAGTACTTGAGTAGTTTGAAGTCCCAGATGGCAAAAACCACTAGCCCTGTTCTATTCGCCACTTTGAGGTTGCGTGCAAGACCAGGTCGGCATGGTTGTCAAGTGCATTGTGGGACTGTTTTGGGGGACGCATTCACAACATGGCGGCACATTTGTCCCCCAAAAACAGTCCCATAATGCACTTTGACAACCATCTCGACCCTGCAGTCTCCGGCGCAACCTCAAAGTGGCGAATCAGACAGTCGACTTTCCTTGCACGCTGCAGCAAGGTGAAGACCTATCATAGCCAATGATGTTTTTTAAAAAAACTTTTCAGTAATTCAGGAAGAAAATGCGAAGAAAATTAAAATCTATTGAGTATTTTCAATTTTGATTTAATGTGACTGAGTTTTGCCAAGAGATCATAATTTTGTTGGATTAGGGGAGGGGTTGGTGGGGCGTGTCCTGTACCCAAGGTAGGGTATCTTAGGTCGGAGTTTTTCGCGCTCGGCAAGCCTTTAAGTTTCAAACCCATGCCAAAACGTCCACCAAGTACCCCATTACAGGGTCTCTTAGATAATACCAAAATTGGCCCTATCGCTTTTACTCCTGTAACCTGCTAACAGGCCTTATTTTTTTCGCGTTTTTTTAGGCGAGCGAAGGCAAGCGCGAAGTTAGCGAGGAGTGCCAGACGGTGGAAATTTCTCTTCGCTTGCCTCGCGCTTGCCTTCGTTCACCTGAAAAGCGCGGAAAAAATAGCCTGTTAAGCAGGCTATAACTCCTGGGCCAAGATTATCTTTTTTTTAATAGGTGGAACAGTTTATGAAAAAACTACACTAGCTCACTGGCAAGAAGGGAACACCTCTCTTAAAAAAGCAAAAGCCACGTCTAATCGATGACACTGTTGAATCAATGCGCTCACTTTTGAGACTTCCCATATTGACAATAAAATTAAAAAAGGCTCATACTCGGTGTAAAAACCTGTGAACCTCACGAGTGACGTGATGTGTTGGTTCTCTCCTTTGCTCCGGGAGGTTTTTCTCTGGGTACTCCGGTTTTCCCCTCTCCTCAAAAATCAGCATTTCCAATTCCAGTTTGACCAGGAATCAGGAAGACGATGGACCACCTAGTAGAAGTGCTACTTGTAAATCGTTATCGCTATTTCCGAGTGACGTAAAACAATTAATACAAAGAAGCCAGTGAGAAGTCGACACAATAGGTCAAATAGAGCCAAGGAAAATAATAGCTAGAAAACAAAGAAACACTTCACAGGCTTTTACACCGAGGATAACCCTTTAAAAACCCTTTGTACAGTTTTATCATGGAGTTTATTTAACAGCGTCTACTCCTGTAAAAGAGAAATCAGTCTTTACCATTTTTTTTTTCAAA